AAAAGTGAATACTGGTGTTGGATCGGTAAGATCCAAAATGATTGAATAATTTTTTTCATTCAAGAATAATTTAGCAGATATAATCTGATTGTTATTATGTTTATATTTGGTAGCAGAGTAATAAGCCCACCAATAATAAACTTACTCTGGAGTTATTAATTCGTAACTATTTATTTTTTCTAAAGCTATTTATTTATATAATTCAGCACAGTACATGATAGATTCATTTGAATATATTTCTTGATTTTATTAAAAATGTTGATATGTTGTAGACATAAGTGAAGGTACAAATAGCTTAACTTTATTGCTGCCAGAGTAGTTTGTAAATTAAGTTTAATAAGAATTGCTCCTTTGCAATTATAACAGTTTAATCATGATTCAGTGTTATGTTGTTTTGATTCATCCTCAATTTTTTTTATTTTTTTTTAAGCTTACAATAGCAATTACACTAGTAAGTGAATGAAATAACCTTATTTTGTTTGTTGCAATTTTTTTTATAATATATGTAAGAATATCCATCACCTTTTTCGCAAATTTTTACAATTTCAAGTACAAATAAATTTGCTTAATCTTCATTATAATTAATACTGTTTTCTTTCAACTTGTCAACCAAACCAACCAAACAAGAAATATCTACATTAATTTCGAACTCCATGGATTCACTATTTTTTTCCTCAATGTTCATAAGTTGTTCATAAATTATATTCTCATACTCCTCAAAATCAATAGCACTTTCTTGCATCTTATTATTACTTTTTTCATTTTTTCTTTATGCTTTCTTTTCTTGCCTTCATTTATTTGATTTAGGCATTTAACACATGTCTTTTTATTAGCTTCAAATAAATTAGCTGGTTTTGTTGCCTCACAAGATGAACAATATTTTGGTTCCATTTTTACAGAATATTTGGATGCATTGAAAAGCAAAGATTTTTTTTTTTTTTTTTTTTGCAAATTAAATCAAAATAACCGATTAACAATATTACAATATTAATCGTCACATTAATTGATATTAGTAATTATATTAATTGATATTAGTACGAAATCAGAAATTATACAAAACTTCACATGTAACTGATCTTGGTGGTTATACTAGGTTTGTCCTGTAGAAAGTAAAGAACCTTATGTTTGATATCTAAGCTCTGTGGCTGCTGTAGGTAGTGCAAGGACCTTCTGTTTGGTGTTTAGACTTCGCGGCTGCATAATAACCTCATATTTCAGTAACTAGACTTCATAGCTGCTATAGGCAGTGCAAGAACCTATGTCTTAGTAAAATTCATGCCATTAAATACATATACCACTGATTCTCTTTATAGCTATAAAATTCCATCTTGTTATATTCCTGGTATGATATGGTATATGTGGTCTTAGATAGGAGATAGGTTGTATGATTTGTTTAGGATGAGATATTCTCTTAAAGATATAATCGTTTAAGCATTTTGGTATAGAGCCTGTAAAACTTGTATATGATAGCGAACGGAATTCCCATATGTTCTTCCTCGTAAAAAATAAAATCATCTGATCAAACAATAATAATATCGATATACTAATTCAGCAATATATTATTACAATACATATATTGAAGATAATGCATCAGTATTAGCAGTGATAACCTCCATTAGAAATAACTTCAGCAGTATGAATTGGATTAAATTCATGAAAATTGATGTATTTAGCCTTTCTTATTCCTCTAAAAGCATTTTTCATATGTTCTTGGAGTGGTCTTCATTGCTGTATTTTACGTATCTTTTAGTATATTCCATATGTGCTTTTTGTGTAACCGTGATATACTGAGGGTAGGGATATTAAAATGATCTTCTGATCTGATCTTTCTAAAAGGATCAGACCGATCCTGGATCATTTATGTATGTGATAAGTTATGTGTTACCTCTTGGTTATAAATTGTGATGCAAGAAAATAACTTCTACATATCAATATTTAGTAATTCTGAATTGACAGTCATTAAGGACATATCATATGCAAAAGTTACATTTTTGATCTCTATCCAAATTTATAATGCTTGTTATTAATTAAAGAAGTTTAATATAATCATGCTAAAAAATAGTATTAGACATTGTTAGCAAAAAAGAATCGAGAATGAACATAAAGCTTTCATCTATTATAATATAAAAGGAACAAGTATTGTTGGTTATTATAACAAAATGATTAAAATACTTTTGAAATGAACTAAATCTATTTGCATTGAGTGAATAATAACAATAAAAACTGATCAAATTTTGAATAATTATTTATTATTGTTTCAGAATTAAAACCAGTTGTAAATGCTTATTTGCTATGCTGCATATAATAATAGTCAACTAGGCTAAGTTTAATCAAATTATTGATTCGACTAAGCTTATAAAATATTATAAACTATAACTATAAACACTAGTTACTAATCAATTTCTATAATATCCAATTTGCCAACAATTATTAAATTCACAAATAAAAGATTCAATAGAAACTAGTGAATAGTCACCATTATATCCGTCAAGAAAATTTACAAACATTGCATGTTTATCAACTGGAATAAATGTTTGACATTTTGTTAAAGTATTTGCAAGATTTGTTGGCATTACTTTTAATGTTAGAAAATTAAAAATTAAACAAGATAGATGTTTGTGCCAATTTATATCAGTCATATTAGGTATCTCGTTAGTATTTTTAGTGACTAACAGATCTGTAAAATCATTTAATATAGATTCTTGTATTTGGGTTAATAGCAAAGAAAGGTTATCTTCAGACAAATTAATATTATTAATCTTGAAATATTTTGATATTTTGTTATATATTGGAAATTTATCAAGAAAATTATGAGGCTGTCTTTGAAGAGTCTTATAAACTAAATTAAAAAACTGTTGAACACATAAAATATGTATCTATATATCATCGTGTAAGGGTTTATAAATTTGAGGATTAAATAAT